TGCAGGAACGCTGCTCGCTGAGATGGGACAATGTTTTCTGGGGCAGATGGGAAGCTGGCTGACGAGCTGTTCCTGCTGGGGCGGAGCTGCTCCTCACCACTTATCGGCAACAACAACCGGTGTCCTTGGAGTGCTTCGAAAAATAACCCAGCCCCAGAGGGACTGGAGGTGAGGCCGGAGGCAGCTGCCAGCAGGCATCCTGGCAGGGAAGTGGGGTCCCGGCCCTGGATGTCCACTGGTCTGGGGACAGTGGCAGGGCACTGCTGTCATGGGTGGCACCAGTCCCACACCAAGGTCAGCACACTTGCTTCCAAGAGTCCCCTGAGAGACACCTTGGACTTTCTTACATCTCACTGGGAAATGGTGCTATGGTGGGATGGCCAGAGGGACCCATGGACCAGCTGGACTCCTTGGGAGCTTGCGATGTGCCCAGGGGAGCAGCATACACCGCCTTAAGAGCTGCCTTGCAGGGGCCTGTGTTGGAAGGGTCTGGGGTGGCAGCGGCCACAGAGGCACCTCCAGGGGCAGGAGGAGGGACACTTATGTGCGGTCAGCCAGACTGATGGAGCAGATGGTGACGCACAGAGAAACTCAGCTGACACAAGCCAGCAGCAGCCAGCTCTGAAGGGAGCCACACTCTGAAGGAGTTCCCCACCACCCCAGGGCGGCACTGGGTAAACCCTCAGGGCCCTGCCCCAAGGAGGGGAGTGCACAGGAGCTGGTCAGTGACTCCATCAAGAAGCTTGCTGAGGTCTCAGCTCACGCTCCACAAGCCATCCTGCTGCTGGTGGATAGCTGAGCCCTCTTTGGTCCCTCACCTCAGGCTGGCACCCAGGGACCAAGACAGGCTCTGCAACCACAGCCCACTAACCCTCTCCCAGCCCCACTAGCCTGTACGGGCTCTTCCTCAATATGAGGAAAAAAAAAAAAGTCCCTTATGAGTGGAAATCAAGCACAGCTCCTGTCTCTGCTGGGTCATTCCCCAGCTGTGCACTGCAGATGAGCAAATAAACAGCTCTTGGCACTCGGGGTGGACAACTGCACTTTAATGGAAAGGTCACAGAGCAGCACCCAACAGCCCCACAGCACAGTCCCATGTCTCCCACCGCCATGCAGGTCCCAGCTGAGAGGAGCCGTCCATCACATGCACAAGCGTGGGGCTGCTTGTGCCGGCGCTGGCTCCTGGGGGTGCTGTGAGCAGCCAGCACCATGCAGTGCACACCAAGTGTGACCCTTGTCCATGGCAGCGATCCCCAGGCAGCCTGGCACTGCCACACTACACGCAGAGGTGAGCTGGACCCTTCCATGGCTGTGCCACAGCTGGAGGAGGCAGGGTGGCCACTGG